TTAGATATTGTTAGGCTATATGATACATTTACAACTATACAGTCAAACAGGATAATGTCAACATAATTATTTGTTTGTACCTGTATTTTATCTCCAATCACTCTGGACTTCTGACCTTGAATAAAAATCAGATGTGGAACTTGGAGTAATATGTTGTGAACCCCTGATAGAGAGCCTCAAAAATCAAAACAGAGAAGAGGTTGGGGTGCGTGCATGGTTCAACAAGGCATGTGACTTAATCCATTTTCTGTTTCCTGCCAACAGTCAACACTAACCAAGTAATTCAGCTTTTAATAAATGATGATAAATGTCAATAACATCGACTAAGATGGCCATGGGACGCAGTTGAAAGCTCTGATAAAAGTTGGTAAAATTATTTGGTCGAGCTAAACCAAGTTGTTTTTTTAAACTCAAATCAGAATGTTTCCCCAGCCAGCGACTCGTTTTGACAAAAAGAGATCAAATTGAGAAGAGCAGAAGATAACAGGAACTGAGGGGAAATGCAGAGGAGAGGGAGGAGAGGGAGGAGAGGAGAAGACTGATCTAAGGTCAGTGATTCCGCTGTAACGCCTGCAGGTACTCTAACCTCTGACATTAAGGCGTCTTCGATCGTATTCACACACACAAGCAGACCACTTCTCCAATATTTATTCTTCACTCATGGGATTGCTGGTTGACCGGCAAGTTATTGGATAAGCAACAAAATCTGCAGCGAGGGGCACATGAGGGAAAACATTCATTCTTTCAGTTGTGCAGCTGTGTTGGAAAGTGAATTATTTAGAGATGTAGCTATTGCCTAGAGTGGGGGTGCAAATACAGAAAGAAGCAGAGGAAGAGTTGTCAGTGCAGAGCCTGTATTCGTCCTGCTGCTGTGGATGATATTATCCTCACTCCTGCCTACAGTCGTCTCTGACAGCTGCAAGTCAGCACAGGCTGAAATAATGTCAGTCTGTAAGAATTAGGAATCAAACTCTGACTCTGACAACAGAATTAAACAGAGACTGGGGTTCAAATACTGAGTTTCAAACTTAATTTGAGGTTATTTACATCAACACCTGAAAAACATGTAGAAATAAATGCTAAATCATTATTGATTGTTCAATTGTTTTTTATGACTGAATGATTAATAATTCAATCTCAGTCTGTAGGGACTTGGCTTGGGAACCGGAGGGTTGCCAGATGAAGAAGAAGTCCAGCACAGACCATAGTATGGAGTGTGGACTGGTAGCTGAAGAGGTGCCAGTTTCACCTCCTGCGCACTGCCAAGGTGCCCTTGAGCAAGGCATCTAACCCCTAACTGCTCCTGGGACGCTGCTAACGCGGCAGCCCATCACTCTACGATCTCCATCTCCATCTCCATCTCCACGTTTGCATGTCCATAAGCCCTGCATGTGTATGATTGTATTTCAGTCCTGTGTAAAAAACATAGAGTGAAAAAAGAATTTCCCTAATAGGGGATTAATAATGTACCTCTCTCTCTCTCTTAAACATCAGTAAATAGTGAAAATTATTCAATATGAGCAGGGATCCCCACTAGGGGTCCCTGCTATAGGATAGCTTAATGGGGAAGGGCGTGAGGCCTTCTTGATTTTGAGGGATGTAAGAAAACCTTTCTATAAAAAAAATATACACAGTAGGCCTGTCAGACTTGGGCACATTTCTCCTTTCATTGTACCCTATAGGGTCGAGGAGTCAGTCACAGGGAATGACAAAGGTAAGTCATATACATGTTTTCGCAAATTCTTTCTTACCAAATAAACAGTGAATGACGACCACTGCATACAATTTAACTGATTTAATAAGCCAGTTGGTGAAGAGTTTTACTTTAAGTTTCTGTAAAGTTATTTAATATTAAGGAAAGTTTAGGGTGTATATCTTTATGTACCTATTGTCAAAAATCAAAAATCCAAAACACAATAAAATCAAAAATCAAAAGTCAAAAATTCAAAACACAATCAAATCACAAAGACACATGTGTTTGGGGCAATATATACTGTGTTCCAAATTATTATGCATATACTTTTTTTCCCTAAATAGTTGATATAATTGGCAGTCAATAGGATTTTTTAT